AAAAGCTATCATTTCCGTTATTAAATAAATTCCACGAGTTCAAAATTATACCATTTTCGAAGAATATACATTATCGCTTATTACTTCACCAACAAAAGCAAAATTATTTGGTTCTGTATATCGCAAAAGATGTTTTTCCATTGCTGCCATTGACTGATTATAATCATCTTTCAGCCTAAACAAGCAGAGAATAGATATATAGAAAATATTAAAGTAAGTCTTTTATTTATTATGAAAGTTTTTATTATATATTTTATTATCTTATCGTGCAATTTTACCAATCAATTGTTTTGCCGGTTTGTAGCCATTGCTTCAATAAGTATTCATAGTAGCTATCTGCTCGTGCACCCATAGTAATGATCATTTGCTCTAAATAGAACAAAAATGATCTTGCATGAATTTTCTAGATAGAATAAAAATAATTTCGCAAGCAACTGCTTACATGAAGTAATTTACATCCAAAAAGAAAAATAAGTAATAGAGGGATTTAAGTTAGAGTAACAAAAGGGGATATAACCAATCACCTTTAAATCGTCCTGTCACTGGACTAATAAACATACTACACAGTCCATCATATTCACGACAACCTTCCTTGTGTATATGCTCGGATGTTCGAAATGCAAGCATCTATATATATATATATATTAACAAATTAACTAAATTTATTTGATTAAAGTTACAAACAAACAGATGCAATTCAAAGTTAACCCCAACATTACAAGATAAACAAGCAAAACTTACTTCATAGGTGTTGTTGTTAGTTACTCGAGAAAGATCTCGCAATTCTAACTGGACGCTGGTTACTTCAGAAAGAGAACAGTAAGTATTCCATGATGGCTGCCTTCCTTCCCTAAAAAGCACTTAAAAAACTCGCAGGAACATTGTTTGAAATTATTGCAAATAACTTTTAAAGCTGATACATTTCATGTTATAGCAGTACACATCATTTAATTGATTGCGTAATCACACATTTCAGATAAAAATAGTGCGCATGAACTAACGTGTTATAAAAATTTAGAAGAAAATTGGTCATTTGCCGAAATCAATTCTAATTATGCAGACAACACAATGTGATACGATAATCAAAAACTAAAGTTGTACGGAATGTTGTTACAAAATGGTTATACTTTACATAAAAAGTCTTTCAAAAGAAGACGGAAATAATGTAGAAAAGATGACAATTCGTATGAGATCTATGTTATCTATAAAATTAAAAATATCATCACAGTTAATTATTGTACATTATATAACAAATTAAATATCTTTTAAGAATGAAAAAGTTATTGCTCAGCATTTCTCAATCATGATGATTGAACTTTGTCACCAGCCAAAAATATAATTATAGTCTAATAACAGGATGCTTGCATATAAGAATATATAAAAAAAAAAAAAACCTATTCGTAAGGCTAACGTCGCTGTATGGAATAGGAGATGAGGTTGCATAAGCTGCAGCAAGTCGAGAACCAAGATCTTCAGCACGATGAACAAACATTTGATCACCACTTAAATGATAAGCACTTAATAAACCACCAAGTACCCGTATGGTTGTTTCGAAAAAGCTCACAAAACGATTCTTCTCAAACGACAACGATTCAGCAACCCATTTTCTTCCTTCTTTGAACTCTTAATAATAAAAACGTAAAAAGCTCTTCTGAAATAAAATTTTCCGTTTTTTTTTCTCATCACACCTTTTCTTCATATGTATAATTACAACTGATGATACTTTATGATATTTGAAAGACGATTTCGTAAAATTCACCATCATTAAGTCCCATAATAATGGCAGTTGATAACGAATCAACAATTGTTAATCCTAAACCAAACCAATCATTATAAGACTTCGTAACCGGCTTCAAATGATCATGTCCCCAAGCATATTTCTTATATCCTTTCCAGGCATGTTTGAATGCTTCCACCACTGCTTTTTGTTTATCGTTTTGTGCCCCTAAAAAAAAAAAAAAAAGAAAAAAATTAGCAAATGTTATAGGGAACAATCAAAAATACTTGAACAACATAAATTCCTCAGAGATCAACGAAAACTTTAGTAGAATTCCTACATCTAGGTAAATATCTGCTGATCGCACAATAAAGAACATATAATCTTATCAAATGAATTCATAAGAAAGATTATAATTCACCTCTAAATTTAATATGTTTAAGATTTTGAATCTTTCCTCTGTTCGCAACATCACCATCTTTCTCTTCATGGCTTTTAGAATTTTCGCGACTCTGATTCAGCAGTGCTGAATCCTTGTATGCTATTTCTTCTGCTGACTAAAAATCAGGAAAAAAAAAATGAACCTAACAATTTGTAAACATTGGATCAAAGATGAAAAGCTAAAATATGTTTTAAAAACAAAAAGACTTAAAAAATTTTTTTTGGGGAAGATTTTAAATTTTCGAATTATATAAATTATGCAGGAAAATTATATGAGTAAAAGAGAAAGCAATAAGAACTTTATCATTATTAGGAGGCATATCGATTGGTTCTGCACCATTTGCAATATTTTTTGATAACTGATATGCACTGTCCACACCTACTGTGCCTTTTGCTGCAATAAAACAAATGACGAATAGAAAAAGGAGTAAAATGAGCAGAGCGAAACGCTGTAAACGAGCCAGTGATCGCCAGTACTGAAAAAAAAAAAAAAGAAAAAAACACTTATTAAAATTAAAACTATCCAAATTTCTATACTTTGATCAAATATTCTAAAATGTGCATTTAAAAATATTTGCTAGAAACATTTTCATACTAAATAATTTTCAAAAATTAATAATTTGTAACTTACTCTGCATAGATGTAGGGATGTTCGCTTTTCTGCGATAGGATTAACAAGAAAAGGTAAATGGCCTTCACTATCGGAACGATATAATTTCCTCATTGTTTCGAATAAATTATCAATTTATCATCATTCTTTCTGCATCAAATCTAAAACAAATATTTCAGTTGGAAAATAAGATAAAAGATGAATCATATCAGCTAGTGATCATCAATGAAAACCCATAAATGGCCATAATGAATGATTAAATAGTTTAAACTTTTATAAAAAAATAAATGAAAAAAAATTCTCTAATGAGACTATCATATGCATCAAAGTTTCAAGTTTTTCAAAAAAATTTCATAATTTCCTAACAAAAACGTAATTTCAAAAATATGTAGGAAAACTTAAATAAATGTATGCAGGAGAAAAAAGAAAGAAAGAATTATTATTCGATAAAAAATTTGTAATAATATCAACACTAACCAATTGCTAGCCATCAATTGCAATACTTCTAGCTGCTATAGAAACAAATAAATTAATTAAATCGTAAAAATATTCACAAAATAATCAAAATATTTCTGTTAATTAAATTATTTCATTTCTTGATTAACCCTGAAAATAAAAGAAAATGAAAAAAAAGAGAAAATGTTTCATAATTTAGTAATTTATAACAGAATGAAAGAAAAACAGCAATGTTTCATAATTGAATAATTCGCAATAAAATGAAAAAGTAGTAAATGTTTGATAATTTAGTAATTTATAATTATTATCTTAACGTAATCCACGTCAATTCTGTTATATAAAACAACACAATACGTTAGCAAATAAGTATTATATTAAAATCTTACAATCATATAAAGAGAATATACATAATTAACGAAATAAAAAATCTCTGAGACTTCCGTGTAGCAAATTGGATATCAGCCGTTCGATCGATAATGCATCTCATAGTGATGGGTTGACTAATTAGCTGATTCTGTTCGTTGTAGTTTCAAGATAAGTCGGTGTAGCTTTGTAATTATGATACAGTAATGTTTAGTGGTAATAGTAATAATGGTAATAATAATAATAATAACAATACAGACAATTTTTAGTAAAATATTTAGTTCATAAAGTCAAACTGAATGAAACAAAATTGAGTTCTAATTAAGTTTGAATAATTCTAGTTTGTTGTCAAAAATTGAATTAAGCATTTTTATCTTTCGGAGACAAAATTTTTTATGAGGAAATTAATAATTGATAATAATGGTGAGAAAAAATAAAAACGATGAAACTAACATTAATTTTATTCATTAATTTGATATATGCACGTTTTTTCTTTTCTTTTTTTTTTTTTTTTTTTGTTTTCTTCCTTGATATCATTATCTGATAAATCATTTATCAATGCCGATAATATCTATTATTGTCCTAATCGACTGTAATTTAATAACAGTAAAATATAGTTGTTAATATTTTGTTTATTTATATTTTATGTTTACCAATTATTTGCAGGTATTTTAAATTCATTTCTTACTTATTTTCAATACTTTAATTTATTTGTATGACATTATATTGAAAGGAAAAATTGTGTATTTCATCTCAAATCATAACCTTGTTTTGTTCAGATACGGGAACAATTATTACCCTTGAACCCCGACAGTTTGTCTCGTCCAAATACGGGAACAATTATTACCTTTGAACTCTGGTAGTTTGTCTCGTCCAATATTGGGAACAATTATTACCTTTGAATAATTTTTACCCCACTTTATCTGGTCCAAATACGGAAACAATTAAATCCTTGAACTCTGATTGCTTGAGTGACAAATTTTGCATTTGTTAAAATGAATAATTGAAGCATTTGAAATATCACAGACATTCTGATAATTATTCAGATTATGAATCGAATATGTTTTACTATTAATTTGCTGTTAATAAAAAAGGTTAATATGATGTGTTTTTAACTTATTTTAACTTATTTTCATTGATAGATTTTTCTTGCAATTCATTTTTATTTTATTTTTTGTTACAATTCATAAAGTTTACATTAATTTTATCATCTTGGAATATTTCAAATTTTATAAATTTAAGGAGAATTTGTTTATCGTTTTTTTTTCTTCATTGACTTTTTTTTTGCAAGATGTTATATTCGAGTTTAACAAGTGATAGAAGTTTTGATTATAGAAGTATTGAGATTTTTAGATTTTCAGAAGTATTGAAATTTCAAAATCCTTAATTTTTATGAATTATGCAAAACTGATATTAACCTCTTACATCATCATAATACATAGCATAATAATCACTATCTTCACGGAAATTTCTGGTTGTTGATTTAGTAGTTGATCTTCTTGCACTTGTACTTATCCAGGTAGAATAACGAGTTGTTATTGTTTGTTTATCAGTTGTTATTGTTGTTGTTCTTGCAATGATAGGTTTATAAGTTACGGTGATATAAGGACGTCGTAGTCGTTGAAGAGTTGCAACAGTGGTTTGTCGGCTAAAAATTATTGTTACGGTAGTTAAATTAATGTCTGCTTAACAGTTGTCTTAAAGAAAGAGAATTTTAAAAATTCATAAATTTAAAGAAGTAAAATGTAATAAATAACAAAATAAAAATACCAATAAACAATAAAATTAAAATCAAAGAGTAAATGAGGAAGTATACCCTGAAATTTTTGTTGGAATCGGTGTGATAGCATCAATTATTATTTTTGTCTGCTCAATTTGATCAATATTTTCAGAAATTTCAGGTAATATTAGGCCTAAGTCCGTAATAATAGATGATATTTTGGTTTGTATCAATGATGCTATTGTAGTTGTTTCCGTTATCGCAGTAATATCTGGTTTAGTAATTTTTTCAATATCATCAATATCTGCACCACTTTCAACCTAAAATTAGTTATTCATCATCTCGTACCATACTTTGTTGGATAATTTTAAAATTGTTGAATATTTATTTCCAAAAAACATTACTAATCCATTCACTACCTTTAGTATATGTTTTTTTTTTTTTTCATTTATTTAATATATGTTATTTAGCTCATTATTTCTTTTTAGTTTTATAGTTTATGCATATTTTTAAACTTATCAATCACTTAGGAAAAAAAACTTATCAATACTTCCTAACTTATTCATTTTTTTTTTTTTTTTTTGTTCTGATTAAAATGCTTAATTGTTGAATGAAAATATTGTTATGATCCAAACCTACGGCGTTGTAATAGTCGATTGCATCAATATTCTCCGCAATTTCAGGTAATTCTTCAGCAGTTGGCTTTTTTGATTTCTCGAATTTATTACCATAACCGCTGTTACCATTTTCAATCATTTTGCTAAAATCGATGCCAATATCGCCATCTTCCGGACCAATTTCTGCAAAAAGTTAATTTTAGAAAAATTTTTTAAATATATTTAAATATTTTTTCTTTATAAAAAATACTTGCTAACAAACCATCGAAATGAGAAATAATTGAAATATACCTTTAGTATTATTTTTTGATGATTTACTAGTACGAGTAATACTGCCAAATAAATTTCCTATACTACCACGATCACCTTTAGCTCCACCTGCTCCATTCATGAATTGAGCAATCAAATCAGGATTTGAAATAAGATCACCAAGAATTTCCCATCCTTTCGGATCTTGTATTAATTGTAATGCTGTCTACAATTATTTATACAATTATTCTTTAAAGTCTTTTCAAATTTGGATTTTCGTCACAATTTAGATTTTAAAATCAGAAGCACAAAAGTGATTCATAATTATTCAAAAAAAATATATTTATCATAATGATACACATAGTTTGTATATTTTTTCATTATTTATACTCTAAATTTGTCAATCCATAAATTGAAAAAAAAAAGCGAAATAAACAAACAAAAAGCAAACTATGAAAGTACCTGAAAGTTAATAAAAAATTCACTTTTTCGAAATGCATCAATAGCTTTGTAAATATCTCCACAACTAAGTCGATTACAAATTCCCAATATTTCTGGTAAATTAAAAATGCGCTCATCAAAATTTCCCTTTGAGCCCGTTAAAAATGATTCAAAAATTTTTGCAAAATCGATTGGCTTTGCTGAAAATAACAACAAGAAAAAAGGACAAAAAACAAAAATGATAGCTGAAAGAAATAAATGCATTCATTAGGCTGGCTTCAATTAATTCAATTAATTTATTTCGAATGATGATGTTTCCTGATAAATCTGAAACATTTTCTTTTATCTATTTTGATCGAAGAAAAATTAGAGAGAGAATAAGTTCTTCATCTACATTTACACAGTTTCTACTTTCCAACTATTTGAAAAATGTATTTTTGAAAAGATATTGATCCATTATTAATCACAATGAGATGCAGTTAATTAATGAATGACTAATTTATGATTCATTCAGCAATATTCCAAATGAATGTGTATTAAAAAGTGCCATTGTACATCTACTTTTTTATTAGATTAACTCCTTAAATCATGTGACATTTGATAGGAATACAATAGATTTTAATCACATTTTATTCCTAATTTAATATACACAAATACTTGACATATGTGTTTATATTAAATTAACAAAAAAAAAAAATTCAACACTTATTCATTAAACTTAGTACATCACATATAGCTATATTAATACAAGTATAATTGTAACAATGCGAATAATTTTTTTTTTTTGAATCTGTAACGTTCGTTTTTTATTTGTCCAAATGCTTCCATTGAATTTCATTTTTAAATCCTTAATTTATTCAAGAGTAAAAAACTAATTGTTAAATTAACTTATCATGAACTAGCCACGGCAAGTGGGTGGGACAGCGATGGCCGAGTGGTTAAGGCGTTGGACTTAAGTTCCAATGGACATAAGTCCTCGTGGGTTCGAACCCCACTCGCTGTATGACAGTTCTAGCTGATGGTACGAGAACAAGTTTTGAAAATTAAAAATGTTTCGCGGGGACTTTGCTTTCTGCTCTTTTGATAGATCGCATTATTAGAATAATGTTTAAAATTAGTCCCTATTATGTGTTTTGATTTGAGAATTAGTTCAGCAACTCTTTTACTTTCTACAATATATAGAAATTCTCTAATACTTTCAAATTTACTTTTTCCTAATGTCTTTTTTTTTTTTTTTTGTTGTTGTTTAAAAAATTTAATTTAAAAACTAACCATCTATCAGAAAATCAGGTAGTAATGATAAATCTGACTGATGATACGTATCAGTTGTTTGCTTATTATTAAAGCTATTTTTGATGATTGTAGTTCTGTCACGTATTTTCTCCGTAATTTTACGTCGGTCATCAAGAATATGAAAAACAGCTGTTAATACACCACGTGGACCAAACAGTAATTCTGACCATATCGTATTCTCTGCTGTTATATTACCTTAAAAAGTTTAAGTACTATTCAAATATCATTAGGTAAATGATATACTTCATTTTTTATAAAGCTGAAAAAAAAAATGTTGACATTAATAAATGATGAAAAAGTTAGGTAAAATTATAAAAAAAAAATGTAATTTTTCCTAAAACTATTAAAAATAGATGAAATGTTAAAAAAAAAGAGCGAAATTTATAATTTAAAATTTTAAAATGTACAAAATTATTATAATGATAAATAATATTGTAATATTATTTTAATTTCACAGTATTTTTTTTGCGAAAATATTGTAATACGTATAAGAAGATATTATTAAAATCATATATTTTATTTGTGAAATATAATCAGCTGAATTAGGACCAAATATATTGATCATTATAAAAGAGTTCATATCTCAATTTAATTAAATTGGTCACACCTTAAATGTAATTCCATACCTAGGTGTTTTGGAATTATATTTACATAAAGCTCTTAAGTTACATTTTGTGTGAAATTTTAGAATTACTATATGCAAAGCCTTTTACGTTACATTCTACGTGAAATTTTAGAATTACTATACATCTCACGTTACAACTTTAGATTTAACTACATCATACTTCGATGATTGCTTCCGTGTGTAACACTTGGCATATCACTAAGATTAGATGATTTTATCATTGATAATTTTCTTTTCGATGGAAATTCATGTAATCTCGGTATCGATAACTGTTGCATTGATTGTCTTCTTCGAATAATTTGCTGAAATAAATTTTTAAATGAATCAATAAAACCTGAATTGCTATCATTTAAAATTTCATTAACAAAAATAAAGAACAAAAACCAAAAAAAAAGGATGATCGATGCTCATTTTGCAATGCCTTGAACAGGAACTTCATTGTTTTGAACATCCCGTTCTTGAGTACCAATTCTTTTGAATAATTTTAACATGTCGCTAGCACTTCGAAATAACGATGAAAGTTGAAATTCCATTTGCTTATTGCTTCCTAAAATGAACTTTTTCACATACTTTCACTCATAAATAATAAAATTTTATAGATTAGCTATTAATCAAAGTTGAAGATTAAACAATTTTTACATATTTTATTCAGTATGAAAAAAAAATAGTTGCATTATTGGTAATATTTGAAAAATAGACGACGAAAAATTGTTTTGAAAGGTAAAAAATAAATTATATACTTTGCATTTTTGTTTTTTATCAATTCGATCATTATTCTTTATCATTTCAAAAAAAAACTTTTATTTGGATATAAGTAGTTTACATAAGGCAAAACTTATACGAATATAATATATTACATAAAGATAAAACTCATTAATTATACACTTCCCTTTTTTTTTAAATATTAATTATTCCTTTTCTAGTAGTACCATGAAACTACATAACCTTTTAGGCTACATAAAAATGATTTATTATTTTATCAATTAATTAATAATTAATTAATGATACTTACCAGTTTCCATTACTTGCAATGGCAGCACATTTAAATCATTTGATGATTTACTCCTTATAGCGTTTTCGTGTTGAATTTTCAATTGTTGATGAATTTTTTGTTTAATTAAATTATTTTGTTGACAATTTTTTAATGCACATAAATTTATGCTATTATCAATAAACTTTTGTCTTCTAATGATGTCATATTGGTTTGGCATATAAATACTTAAATTTCTGTTAAAATTCTGTAACATTTGATTGGTATTGTTAAAATTATGAAAATTTTGCCAATATTGTGTTATATTAACAGTTGGAAATATTACAGTACAATGAAATTCAGCCATATTAATTATAATTAGAAGTATAAAAATTAAAAATTTGATAAAATTGACGATGAATAATTTCATAGCAGATATAGTAATGTAGTAAATAATAATAGTAGCATATGATGATCGTATCAAATTATATCATTAACCGTTAACTTGATCAATTTATTCCTTTTCTAAAAAAGTTTAATAAGAAATAGAGCAAATGACAGAAGACGAGAGAAAGAAAGAAATGAAGAAAAGGATATAAATTATAATTTCTATCAAATTTTATTTCAAATCATGTTTTACAGCTAAAACTTGTTTATGGTTCATCATTATCATTATTATCGATATTAATTGAAAAATCAGTAGTAATATGATTATTTAACATTAATAATTATATCATAAGATAAACTAATAAAGACTGGTTTCAATTCCAATTATATTAGACATTGTATATTTCATTACTGGTTTTCTGCACCATTTATTTCAAATATTTAATTAGATCTAAAAATTTTCTCTTTCCCTAAAAACTTATCATTGACATCAACAATTTTATGAATTTTATAAATGTTGAGAAATTTAAAATTAAGAGAAATATGTATATATATCAAACTTACAAATATTTCAAATATTAATTTCTAACACTTAGAATTACAAAGCATATTAAGACATAAATAACAATTAATTAAAATAAAATAAATATTTGTTATTGCTAATGATAGGAAATATGAGCAGAAATTAACATTTCAGTATCGTTTGTTGAAATGACTAATGTACAAAATCATTCGGTATGGCTTGAGATACCGGATTTGTTGATGAATGGAAGAGAAAATCCGGTTCTTTAGAGGTTTTCTTGCTTAGCAAATAATAGATTTTTCAAGGTGAATCGATTAAAAAATTATTTCAAACTTTAACAGCCATCAATTTGAAAAGGCGATATGTCATAAATGAAGAAAAGTAGTGTTTTTTTCCTCTCTATTTTTTCTGCCCTTACAATTTTAAATGTTGAAGATGAATTAATTAAAAATTGAAAAATAGGAAGAAGAAAAGGGAGAAGAGAAAGAACAAATGAAACCTGCTTGAAGAAAGACTTTTTTTTTCAATTTTGATAGAAGAAAGTGAAAAAAAAAAAATGAATCTGATTAGATCAATCAAAATCATTCAAATCATCAATTAATGCCACAAAATTTTGATACCTTTTTTCTTCCTTTTTGAAAAAATTTTATCTTTATGAAATTATTTTAAAAAGTTTTGCAAAAAAAAGAAAAGGGGTGAATTGCTTAAGATAATTAAATAGAAATTCTTTCTTGCACTTTTTTCCCTTTTTCATTATTTTGATCTTTTACAATTAATTTCCTATAAAGCATTAAACATTTCATTTGTTGTTTTTTTGTTGTTCGTTATTTTTATTTCTCATTTAAATCTTGAATAATTTACTAAATTTTTTGCTGCGATATTTTATTATCAAAATATTACTAATTATACTTTTAAAAAAAAGAAAAAAAACGAAATAGAAGTGCTCAACAAAAAAGACGATTACGGATTATTTTACAGAAGGAAAAAAAAAAGGCACACGTGTGAAAAATGATAAAAACGTTTAATTCAAACACAAATTTATATAACAAAAAAATTCATTTAAAACATATATAATATATATTTGTACAATTTTAAATTTACCTCTTTCTTTTCTTAATTTTAACTTTATTACTCAGTTTTGATAAAACCAAAAATAAGTACAAAATATTTGTTATTTGATTAACATTACAATTTTTATACTAAGTAAACATTAGAAATAAGCAAACAAACAAAGAAACAAACAAAAACGAGGAAATGAAAAAGAAAAAATATCAAAAAATTTTTATTTATAATCAAAAATATTGCGATAACATTATTCTCTTTAACAATTATCAAAAATAATTTGTTAATTAATTTCCTAACAAAAAAAAAAAAAAAACATCAATTATCATAAATAATTTTTTGTTTAATTAAAATTTCATTTATCAATATCATTTAGAAAAATAATATTATAAGATTTACTATTGCAAATTGTAGCAAATTAATTATCTTTAAGAAATTTGATACAATCAACTAAACCTTTTTGTCCTACTGTTTGCTTACGAAATTTAATCATTCGTTGATTGTTATCACTAATTTTATCATATAAACTTGTACCCATATTTTTTGGCTCATCATTTTGTTCTTCAATGTTATCATAATAATCATTTGATCGCTTATTTCTTACTGATTCCATCCAATTTATTGGCTTAAATTGTTCCGAATGGATTATTAGTGATAATGGTGATGGTATTGCATTTGGTAATGATAATTTCTTATCAAAATTTGTCATTAACATTTCCATTTCTTTTGTTAACATATTTATTATTGGTGATTTAAATGATGAAACATGCGGTGAGAGCATTGGTGTAACTGTTGCAAAAGTTGGAAAGGTAAAAATTAGTGCTGGAAAAGTAGGTAATGTTGCTAACGTTGTTATTGGTGTTACAGTAGTTGTAGTTGCACTAGTAGCAATATTTAAATTTGAAAAAGCTGATAATGGATTAATTAAATTTTCAATAGAATGTGAATGCATTGATATTTCTGGCAAATTTCCCTTTTCTTTGAATGATTTTTTTTGTGAAATTAATTCCGAATTATTAATTGTTTTTTCATTGGTAGACCATGTTTGTGATCCAATATTTTGATGCAATCCCGGTTGAATTGGTATTGGTGGTGCATCTGAGTCATTATAGTATGGCTCATCAGTGATGAGAGAATGATGTAACTTTTGATCATCCACTTCTAATGGTTCAATTGTTGAGATAAATCTAAAATATTTCATTTTAATCCTTTTAATTAATTTAATAGTTAAAATAAGCTTAAAAAATTTCATTTTAATCTTTCTAATTAATTCAGTAGTTGAGATAAGCCTAAAATATTTCATTTTAATTTTCTTTAAATGAACAAACAAACAACCAAAAAAGAAAACTAACTATTATAAATAAATTGCCTAAATACAACTTATAAAATATTTTTTGAAAAAAAAAAATATTAAAGTACCGATTAATAAGTTGAAATGCATTTGCAAAAAGTTTGCACTGAACTGAAGAAAGTCCATGTTCTTGGCATACGGTTAATAATATACTTGGATTGCTATAAATATTAATTTAATGTGAAATTAATAAATGACTTTTTTTTATTGAAAGAAAAAAAAAATTTTTTTTTTTGAAACTATAACTAATTTTTGATTTATTCGTACCTTTTCCTTCTCTTTTTTCAAAATAGAATATTTGAATTGCAAATAATGGTCAAATACAAAATGAAATTAAGTAATTTATAAATTTTTGATGATAAATGAATATGAATGTAAAATAACATAAACATGCAGTAATATTTATACATCATTTGCATAATTTTATGTTTACAACACAGTTATTTTTAGATTGCACGAATAAAATTAAACGTGAATAATGAATAAATTTTAGGTTAAAATTAATTTACCTAGCAATCATTTTACGTAATCTCGTATCAGCTAACATTTGTGCAGCTAAATTCAAATTTGATAATGATTCATCATTTTGAAAATTATGTGCACTGCACGTGATAAATTTGCATATTCTTGAATTACTTCTGCAAATTGGCATATCATCTAATGTAGAAGAATATTTTGGTGAGCCAAGAATTTCAGCATCTCTTCCTCTTATCGCCTCTGATTGTAACTGAAAAATGGTAATAAATTTTAAAAATTTGTCGTAAGAAAAGCTTTTTAAATTTCAATCTCATTTTTAAAATTGGTTTAGACATACCAAATTAAATTGTTTTTTTTTTCGCATTAGAATAAGTCATACTTTTCTGGATATCATTAAATCTGATTGTATTGATCCCGAGGTATCAATAATTGGTCGAACAAAGTTCAATGCTCCTTGAATTATATCATTCAATGACACTAGAAAAATTTTTTTGATTTTTTTTGCGACTGAGATATTCTTTGTTAATATTAAATTCAATTTATATAATTTATATGCAAAATTCATTGAGCAAAAACAAATTTAATCAAAATTTCAAAATTTTCAAACAAACATCAAATAATATGAAAATTTTTAAAAATTTTTTCATATTCTTTCATTTGCTATGATAATAAGAAATTTTGTTAAAAAGCAAAAAGAAAAAAGAAAATCAGAATATTTAATATTAATTTAACAAATTATAACACTGAAATATTACAAAAGTTTGAAATTAAAACTCAAAAAAATTTAATTTATTTTAAGTTTATATTTAATAAAAAAAAGATGTAACAAACCTTGACGTTTTGCATCTTTCTTAATATCAATCATATTGTTGTTAAGTGCCGCGACAGATAGCACAAAGATAACAAATAATAAAGTAGAAAAATGAAAAAGTAACATTTTTGTATTAACCGAAACAATTCATTAATAATATTTAATTTGAAGTAATAATATGAGATTTTTTAAGTTTGATGGAATTTTTCTAAAAATAAAACTATCATTTCGTTTTTTTTTTTAATTTGTATGCCACATAAAGTTAATATCAGAAGCATTAATAACGTGCGAAATTATATTAAATATTAATAAAAAATAGCATTAATTGAAGATGATGATGGTGATTTCTTAATGATAATTAGTAATGATTACCGCACTCATAATTAAGACATCATGAAAAGAGCAATAATAATAATTAATAAGGATTATCATAATAGCATAGTGGTAATTAATCAATTATAACGACTAATGATCAATTATAACAATCGTAGTTGAATATAGTTGATGATATGATAAATTATATTATTGATATTTATGAATTATTTATTAATTTAGTGAAAATTAGACCTGATTATTCTTAAGTGTATTATTTTTTTTATAGAAAAATTTAGGAATCATCAACCGACTATGAATATCATTGTTTTAATTATTAAATTGAACACTGTTAAATTTTCAATTTTTTTCTATCTTAGAAATTATTGTTTCAGAAAGTTAATAATAATAGCACAATACGAAAGAAAAAAATGTAATTGTTCACCAAAAATAATTATGAAATTTTTAACAATAAATTCAATCATAAATTCATTTGAAGCATTGTGTTCCAACACATCAATCAATGAAAAAAGGAAGAATTTTAAAACAAATAGATAAATTTACTTTTGTATGCTAAGAAAATTGATGAAACTGAAAAAATTCGATGTATTTTTTTCAAAAAACTTTTGTTGAATGGCAGAAAAAGAAAAGAATAATCATTAGTTTTATTTTCTTGAGATCATGCAAACGTCAAAGTGAGCACAACATGACATAATTTGTCCTATCGAAAATGATAGTATAATTTTTAGAACAATAACTGAATAGTAATTTAAATCGATGTTTTCTTTTAGAATATAAAATTTCCTACAAGTAAATAATGAAAGATTAAAAAAAGGAAAAACAACAATTGGTTAATTTATTTCAAATAATTTTTAGCAAAGGAAAAAAAAATAAAAGTTAGTAAAGTTGAGAGGAAAATTCAATGAGTAGATATGACAGTAAAATGACTATTTTGAGTAGCAAGAGGAGAGAGAGAGAAAGAGAGAAAGAGAAAGAGATAAAGAGAGGAAGAGGAAAAGGTAGAAATGAAAAACGGGTTTCTTATCCTACCAAAGATAATTTTAGAGAAAAGAGGTCGTCGTAGTGCTGTTTGAAAAATATATTTTCGTGGGTAGTGATACATTGATAATTGTATTATTATCAGGTTTTTAATGATTTAAATCGTTTAATTTTTCATTTGCAAGTTTAAATCAAGCTAAATACCTTATTAATTATTACATTAGCTTTAATATTTTGCAATTTTTAATACATGTCAAATTGGCTTATTATTTGTGTTCATGTAATTAATTTTCATAGCTTATGTATCCAAATTTACGTAATAAAAAAAAAGTCATTAGCAGTAATTAAAAAAAAAGACAAAAGAGCATTTCAAGAAAAAAAAGTTCTACAAAAAAAATTTTTTTTTTATCTGATATAATAAATAAAGTACACATTGCCTATATTTATTGTATCACTGACCTCCGAAATTATCGCATGCTGTCGCAATTGTGTCACTTATATTGTTCTTTCATAGAAAAAAAAAAAGCAAAACGTAGAAATAAATGAAATAAATACAGAAAGCATACATTAATTTTTTGTTTTTGTATCTAAAGTTTTACGGTATAATGAAATAATTCAAAGAAGGTTAATTACATGCATTAAAAATGTTGGCAAGATAACAGTGGATAAAATTATAAGAGAAAGGCATCACATCATAAGAAAAATGTTGCATGATGATATGAGTAGATGTGATGTTAAATTATTGAAACTATTTTTTTTATTTTATGTTTTTTTTTTTTTTTTTTAAAGTAAGATCATGTAAACTAGTAAGATCATATATCGCTTTACTATTAAATACTTTTATATTAGTGTAGAATTGATAGGATTCAAAGCGTATAAATACTGCTAGTATAATTTTTCTTTTTTTATTAGATCACTATTAGATAACTGTGTTCATTTAGCTTAGATTAAAGTTTTTGTCCAATTTAGTTATATGTATATATCAATATTATTAGCTATTGAGTAAAATAGTTATTTCCGATATTAATTTGTTTTCTAATCTTTGTTAAGCAAAGAGATGATTGATTAAGTATAATTCAGAAATCATTTTGATAAAGCTAGGATAACATCGGGAATACATTTATGTACACATTGAAACAGCAGTTGCTTCATTCTACTCAGTTTGAAAAGCATTTAAAATGGCACTTAAAATTTCTAATCATTCGTATGATTCATTTTGCTACCTTAATAAGATAATAAGGTTTAATGTTTACCACCTAAAAGAGCTATTTTCGCGGTAAACATGCTTTTTGGAATATTGGGAAAGGTAAATGCTAGAAGTGTATAAACTTGAATAATTTACTTGCAGCGATAAATAACTATCCTGATACAACGAAACTGTCAAATAGCGCTACATTGCTAAATATTTGATGTATTCATGCATATCATATGTTTAATAATCATTTGTACAAAATCTCAAAAAATGATCAAAAATAAATAAGTTGACAGAATGTATCATCGAATAAAACAGAAGATGCTAAATGTGGAATGAATTCAGGTAGATTCAGGTAGCATTCAGAGATGGTTAGATTTCATAATCTTTGCTCACATTGATTCAAGTATCATATGGATATAGTTAGATTAAAGTAACTTTATTCACTTAGATGTCAATTTATTACGGTGGAAATGGAACGGTTACGCATATCCTTCTTTTCATTTTTTTTTTTTTTTTAATAATTAATTAATATCTTATGTTTTGTAGAAAAAAAACAACTAAGCATTGATTTCAAGTGATTGTCACTTATTTCGCACCATTTAATTTTAGGAAGTGCTTTTCTGAGATCAGACTTCTTTATTAATAAATTGATAATGCAATATGTGTATCATAGGTAAGTACCATCATTAAGCACAATAATTATTATGTCTAAACTGATATGAAAATATTTTCATCAACTGTGATGAAATTTTTTTCCAAAAAAAACGAAGAGTGCTCGATTTTCTCCTAAACTGCATTAATGCCTTCTACCAACAGAATCTGTCGAATGGAAATACCCGAAAATCAAATCATATCGTATTCATATTATTCCTAGATTGAAATAATAATTTATGAATGAATAGCAGAAAATTATGAGCTTCAAGAAATTTAAACATTTGTGGGTAATTCATTTTCGACACGACGTGGGTCGTAACATAGCAATTTGAAGCAATAAAAGTTTTCTCCACAGTTATTTCAATTACTTTGTTTTATCTTTATCCAATAAATGTCTGAACGTTCACTGCAAAAATTTATTGAACTTTAGTAGTAAATGCATTAGATACAGCTTAAAACTGTATCACATTTATCATATACATTAATAAATCAAATTATTTAATCCTAAATAACATTGGTTTTTAATTAGTTTCAAATTTTTTGAACGAATTTTGCACTTTCTTAATACATTTGATTAGTTTTTGCATTTGAGAAAGAAAAGCAGACTTGATTTGCCGGAAATATTCAAAATATGATCATTAGGCAGTCGTTTCTTGAAGCAAAAAAGATCATTTAGTGCGGGAATACAGTTAAGTTTTGGGGTTGTTTTCGTTTTCATTTTGAAATTCGTCGATATTTATTGACTGTTATACCGACGGCATTTGTCAGTAAGTGGGCCAGAAACTGGATAAATTGTTCCGACAAAATTTTTGCCTTGTTGCATAAAGTTATAACTAGTAACAACGAATGGACATTCATCCAGTTGAAACTGAAAATAGCTTTAATTTAAGTTTAATTTAAAGACGACTTTGATTTCTAAAGAAAAACTTTAATTTAATTAGAAACTTTAATTTTTAGCTAGAAAAAAGAAAACTTCAATTTAATTCATCAAAGAAAACCTCAAATAATGACATTGCATATTAACTTTTTCCTTAAATTACTTGGATAGCAGTAATTATTAACAGAATTAAACATTTTTAATAATTCCTAAATTACTGAGCTTACCTTGCAAGTGTTACGTGATTGACGTGTGAGAAAGCAGAGAGTGTAAAGAGCTAGATCAAATTCCGGACTTGTACCTATGAAAAATGAGCCAATGCGCTTAAGATGATTATGCCAGGTAAATTTCACTGCAGCCATGATATCCTACAAAAAAAAAAAAACTTCCACTTCATGAATATTTAATTAATTGCTTCTTCTCTTTATACAACATTTACTCGATGAAACAATTGAAGAAAAGGCATCTATCTAATCAGCTTCTTTTTATTAAAGTAATCACATTTAAAGTTAATTTTTGCTAATGTTTCTAATGTTTATCTTATGCAAATGAAAAGAAATTTCTTGATTATTTTGACATACACATTTCCGAAACCAATTTTGACAAGCAAAAATAGTCTAATTGTCAAGATCGATAGGTATATTTGGCACCAGTCTCTCTTATGAAATTATCAATCTGTCAAATATCAATAATTAATCCTGTGAAATTGCAAGCTATGTTAATAGATCCTGTGAAATTGCAAGCTATGTTAATAGTACCCTCCAGTAGAATCTGCGAAGTCAGATAAATCTCAACTAAAGGGTCAGAGAAAGTGTGTCCATGTATCTAACTTTAGGTACCTAACTTTAGAGCAATCATCTTAAGAAATGAACAACTCTGATTTCAAACTGGACATGGTTATCCCACGATAATATTCCAAATAAAGCTACGACGATTTGATGATTTAGTGAATTTCAGGTATAAAGGATGAAACAGGCTCCGCACAGGATGCTACGAATCTAAAAAAGTCTTTGCATAGACTCGTAGGATATGGTCAGTTTCATAAAACCCTGTAACACGATGTACAGATCAAAGAACTATTATCCGATAACAGCTAGCGAAATCATCTTTTGTTGTAAGGAAAATAGCTTTTCGTTTTGCATGTGGTAAACTCAACAGAAATTACGGGATATTAAAAGCTAATGGTTCAGTCATGAGCAGATGTCGACGATCATAGAGGACTCCGCAAAATTTTGAAAGCACAGTATGGATCAATATATCAGCTCTGATAACTTTCTTACAGATAAACCTTCTATCTCAACCGATTATTTGAACACTTTCAATCTCTTTTCAGTGTCCACCATTCAGTTAAAAAATTATTAATTTATCATGTCAGCAATCAGTGAAAAGCTGAACTGAATCTTGGAAAATCAGATGAGAACATCCGATTTTAATGGAATTCCGTCCGAAACCTATAAACACGGAAGTCACTTAAGGAAAGTCTTGCATTAGGCTATTCCATCCAAGTCCTTCAAAGTGATCGCTCTGTTGCACGAAGATCAGCGCAAGGTTGCATTCTTGCATCAATCCTATTCACATAATTCAGCATTGCGTTTCCTTGGATGTCACACAACCACTTGGCCAACATTAGTGTCCAAAGAACCACAACAAATCTTGACAAAAAAGCACTATTTAGTTCGATATCGGGAGTTTATTCAGTGGATGCGAATGGGTCATCTACCGTCACCATTTGCAATTCCTTGAACGATACTATCAAAGTTGACTTTCGCCATTCTAAATATTCACCATATTGCCCTTAGACCAGTATCAATGTTCTCGAACAATCAGGCTACTGCAAACAGAACCGAAACAATCTTTTAACCTAGGATACATCGGCCATACTAGCAGAATTCAGCATAAGTCTCACTAATCTCCAAATAAATTACAAAATATAACAAATAAAACTGTATTATTGCATAATATTAAAATTCGTTTTAATTGAACATTTTTTTAAAAGAAATATAAAGAAATAATTCTTAAAGAAATATGTTCCAAATTGCACCTCATCTCATGCAAGTTGCATCTTATCTGCCTTGTTAAGAAATTTTGAAAAAGAAAAAGTTAAAAAAAGGTATGTGTTTTGTTTAATATGCAAAGGTTTTCTAATCTAACAGTCATTCTTATGAGCAAATGATCTTATGTTAAAGCCCATATCTTACTATATAAAAAGTAAAGACCATCCGACAGTGACAGCTCTTTACTTACTGTAATCATGCGCTTTGTTGTAAGCTAATCCCTCCTCACATATAAAAGCATTTAAACTCCTTATCTTGCTCAGTTTTTTGGTTTTTTGTTACGGTTCTATTGTTTTCTCTTTCTTTCTCTTTCTCTTTCTCTCTCTCTCTCTCTCTCTGTCTGTCTCCCTCGCTCATTTAATTCATTTCAATTCTTTAAGTTCCCATCAATCTATTCATTTTCTTCATCTCATATTCGCAGGCAAATACTACGAATCTATAAGTATATATCCAACTTTGCATCGTGATTGCTAGCGAACAAATTCGTTACAATAGACCTTTCACTCAACGCATCTGTCTATACTAGCTACAAAAACAAACGAGGAAGGCTCTTGAGCATATGAAAGTGTAAACCGACTTTAAGCTATAAAAGTTTAAGCTACAAGAGTCAGAAGCTGCAAGTTTCACGACACTTGCAGTGGTTCACTTTGATCTCTAACGAAGAAGCACCATCTGAAGCGCTGCTACCGTCTTTGAAAACACATATAAGACTTGTCACGTGAAGAAAAGAAAACTAAAACGTATGAAAAACCATGCCTCGCTAGCACTTCTGATCTGACTTTTCGTTATGTTTTTTTTTTTTTTTTTTTTTTAACAGAACTAGCATATCCCTCATTGGTGTTTTTAGCCATCAGTGTGTTTGCTGCAGACGTAAGTGAATCCCTTTACAAAATTTCCAATCAAGTCATGAATCTTCCTTACCATTACATCATTTTCATATAGAAGCATAATAAGTTACAAACTCACAAATCTTTTAATGACATATCCACAATAATCGAACTCCTCTGAGGCATTTCTTTCTAGCAAATAGAATCGTAGCCATGAATGCATTCCACTCACTTCACCATCTCTGTGCTAAATTTTAATTATTCAAATTTTCGTCAAAAATAAAGAAAAAAGGAGCAGGTGATCTGTTTTATCGTTAGTCAGATTGAATGGATTAAATAGAATAAGTGAAGCTAATAATAAAATGGTCACTCTATAGTTTAATGTATGCTAGGCTCGGCGTGAAATTATATTACCATGAGAAATCGTTGAACTGACTACATTTAAACAATTAAATTTTGTTGTGAAACTTATGATTGATAAAAAATACCTCTCCCATAAAAACATGCTTGAATCCAGATGAACTGTAACCTTCACTTCGTGAATATTCCGTAAACCATAATTGTTTAATCTGAGTTCGGAATGTTTGCAGATTTTTTGAATATGGATGACCTTAAATCTTCGCAATTGTTATTTCATTATTTTTTAAATTGAAATATTTATTCGGAATTGTTCACATTATTCAGCGACATTTCTTTGAATCTGCCTGGTTTCATTGGACGATGTACGGAACTTAAAACAAATGGATGATACTTTGCTAAATTTCGAAATATTTAAAACAAATTTTACCTTTTCGGTGCAGAAATTGATAAAGACTTTTCCACACAGTGGTATTAAAGACCGTATCAAGAAAATCATCAATAGCTCTATTCTTCTGAAAATATCATTTTTTGACAAATAGAAAAGTTTATAATTTTATAATAAAAATTAACTCTATATCGTAATATTGTTTAAATTGCGTGTTTTTTTTTTTTGAAATTTAAATAAGAAAAACATTTTAAATTTTAATAAAAACATTTGCTCATTTTTCTTTCCCGTCCCTTTTATATTTAACATTTTATTGCATTTGAAAAGAAAATCAGCAAGTACCCGAGATTTAAATAAAGCAAATTAATACCGTTAAAGAATTCTCTTTAACGCCAATTTCTGAATGGTATTCATTACTCAGAGCAATCCACTTTCGGTATGTGTCTTTTTTCAGTGAGACTGGATCTATCCATTTAAATAACCTAAAAAGCGACCGTTACCAAATTTTCAATTAACGAACTGCAAAAGTTTTATTGAAACAATAAATTTCATACAACAGTTTTCCGCTCGCATTAAGCAGTTAAATCATTGATCTCTTTGTGCATTACAACTCATGAACAATTGCTGAAATGTTCTCATTTAAAATAAAATCTGGAAATTTTGGAAGATTCTCTATTATAATCAATTAGGATTCTATAGTGAGTTTTATCACTAATCAGAACCGAGAGATATAATGGAAATCGGTAATTTCTCTTCGTTGATAATTTTTTTTTTTATTTCTCTTCGTTGATAATTTTTCCACTAAAAAAGTTCTTTACTAGTAATAACCTTCTTTGGGCGTTATCAGTAGGATCATGAGTTACCGTATGTCCCTGATAATCCAGAATTACTTTTCCATTATTAATTTTATTGACATCTTGTTCTCGAAATTTATTCACCATGCTCGCAATTTCGCTATCCAGTACCAAAGATCCTAGTTCTTCAATTAATCCTTTGCAATTAAGAAAAAAAAAAAAATCAACTAATTCTTTGCAATCAAAAAAGAAAAACGAGCAAAATAAGTAAATAAATAATCCATGTTACATTAAATTTTCTAATGCTTATATTTTAACATGTGATTTTGCATTCATATTGATACCTGATTTTCCTGTTCCATTGAGACTATCAGATAAAACTGTAATTAAATAAAGGAATGAAAAAAACCATACAGCAATGACCATATTCCTATAAAATTGTTTGATATGCTTATCATATGTAGAAGAAATATTGCACCTGATGATCTATTACACCTCATCTATTGCATCTGATGATTACACCGGATGATCTATTGCATCTGATGATTACACCAGATGATCTATTGCCTGATATATTGCATCTGATCTATTACACTTGATGATCTACTGAATCTAATGATCTGAGATTCAGGCTTTTTCATTTGTTATAGTTACTGAATACTATACTAAGATATACCGACCTGTTTCTATGACTATCTTCTCGTCATAAATTTAGTTAGAACTAAATATAACTTCTAAATGAATAATTATTCAAAACGAATGTTCATATGTGAAGCCTAGAAACCTAAAACAATATCCCTGTCTCAATACATTCGCAGAAATCATACCACAAAAAAAAATAAATCATATTAAATAATAAAAACTATCAAAAACAAAAATTATAAACCATAAAAAGTAAAAACAAACCTTAGCAGTATGATAGAATTCAGTAACAAAATGAAATATCAAAATAAAAGCATACCAGTATGACAGAGCCAAAAATTTGCTATAATAAAATATATTAAACATCAGATAACAAACAAAATATGATAAATAAAAAATTAGAAAATCAAAAACTTGTATTCAAACTTGCAATCAATATGCAAATAAACAAAGTAAAACAGTATTAATTAAAGAGAACCAATAATTCAAAACTAAAAAAAAAATTCAACGATTTCCTAAAAAAAAAAATTTAGAAGGCACAAGAAAAATTTGAAGGGAAAATTGAAATCACACTATTTCCAGTTTTAAACGTTGCATATCTTGAAATAAATTACATTAATAAAATGCTTTCATATAAAAATTAATCATTCAAATATTATGGTTACAATAAATCATTTTAAGCTAATTTTTCATCCCTCAATTTAGCATAATTTCTTACGTTTATAAATAAGTATCATGCAAAAAACGAGTATCTTTTAATAAAATTTCCATCTTTTTCCATAATATTAAAAATACCGAAATCAAAAGCACATACAAATATTCCTTATCTTTTTGTGTAATCGTATCAGATGTTCCTTAACATTTTTTTTTACGTAGCTATCTTTGTATCCAAGCAGATATATCAAATATCGTAAATCATTCCTGTTTCCAAAGAGCTAAAACTTTGCAAATTAACCTAGATCTAAACTTACTGTGGTATCTATAATCAACATGGTGTTAACTATAAATTGAAGTAACCTTATTTTTTTTAAATCTTTCAACATGGCCCAAAACGAAAAACTTTGACGTAGTTTTTTATTTTTTGTCCATATAACTATCTTATTTTTTGTTCAATCTTTGTATCTGATCAAATATAACAAAATATTCTAAATCATTCCTATTTTGACACCTGCAAGGAAAAAAAGTACCCAAGAAAAAACTCAATAACAATATAATGATTAACAATAGTCTTATGATTAACAGGATTAATAATACTTTACTTCAACACATTTCTAAAAGTAGTAAAAGTTACATGCAAATATATCATATCAGGTAACAAAAATCAAAATATATGATCTGAGACATTCATTTTGCAATTATTCTTCTTCCATTTATATCAAATTCCACAAACCAGTATAGTTGTATAATGAATGTCTCAGTTATTTAGGCCTTTTCATCTGCAATAGTCTCTAAAGTAAGGTCAAAATGTTTGAATGACTAAATGCAACATTTTATCAGAGTTAATGATACAAGCGATGACCACTTATTCATAATTTTTGCTTATTAAATATATTTTTAAAAAAAGTCTGCAAAGTAAAAGTTATTACTCAATTCAGTAAGATAATTTTGCTTTTTGAAAACACTAGAAAATAGCAAAATTTATATTTTCTAACAAAATAATGCAAAATGCTTGAAAAAAATTAATCCATCTCTATTGATATGCTTCATTTATGCACATAAGCAATAGCTGCATGCAACATATGTAAACTTAGCTTTGTGGTTTTAATCGTTGACCTTTTTTTTTTTAACAAAGAAAAAAGTTCATTTAAATCAATAATGATAGGAGCTAATGTAGCAATCAAAACATTCATGTTTGAATACATTTCTGAATAGTATGATACAGTAAAAGTTTAATAATTATCTCTTACTTATAAATTTAATTAGAAGCAAATTTAGTTTCTAAATGAAAATTATAGCTATCATTTAAAAATTAACGTCTTTTTAAATAATAAAAGTTTAATTAGCTCAGTAAATTCTACTTCAATAACGCAGCAAATAGCCAAAAAATGAATGTTAAATTTCATTAAAATTCAAACAACGATAAATAGCATTGACGTAAAAACTGTGATAGCTAATAACACCATACGGTTGAATGATAAATTGAATTGCTTTTCGTCTTAACATTGATAAATGATGGTGAAAATGCACCTTATGTCCACAAATGTATGCTTCAAGAAAATTAAAATTTTAAAGCTAAAAACAATAGTTCATAAAAACAACTGCTTTATTTCGGATAAATTAAGCGATAAAAATTTTTTAAATATCAGTAATTTTTAGTTAATATATAATTTTTAATTGAAATAAAGCTGACTTGACAAATTTAATTATTATTATTATTACTACTATTATTGTTATAATAATATCATTTAATAAATTCTATAAAAGTTAAACTTATTGTCTAAGATTTTTTTTTCAGTTGATTACTATTGTTTATTACCTAAATGAAATAGGTTTAACGTATTTGATGATAAAAATGAGAAAAAAAAAACTATCTCATAAGAAAAAAGAAAAGAAATAATTGTTTGATAAATTCAAAATTAAAAAAATTTTTTTTCTGAAAGATACACAAAATAAACAAAAAAAAAAAAAAAAAAAATATAAAAAAGAGATAAATGCAATATCATTTGCAATGAATAATTATAATTGGAGTAGAAATGAGGGGCTTAAATCTCTGCGTATGGTCAAGCAATTATTGATTTATTTAATATCAATAAGAAAAATCAGTTACCAAAAAAGAGAAATCTTGCGAGAAATACCTTTGTAAGTTATTTCTGACAAAAAAAAAAATTAAAAAATCTAGAAAATAACGAAACAGCGACACTATTTAGTTATTTCAGCAAATTACTTCTGCTAGATTAATACATCAAAAACGCATCAGCGACGAAAAAAAAAAGAATAAAAGTTTCTTGCAATTTTGTTATGATAAGCAATAGTAGGCTACTTTTTTTTAATTTGGTTGAAATTTATATCTTAAAATCTTTTGCCTTATTTCATTTCTAATTTATACCATAATTCAACTTTTTTTTTTACAATACAAGTTAAATCATTTTTTTACAAAAAGATTTCAATTTTCTTACAATACGAAAAGAAATGAAATTAAAACGAACTGATATTTGGAATTTAATCTATAATTTTTTGTTATATATTAATTTATCATGGTATGAAGAACTAATAAATTTAAATATAATATTTTACAAAAGCAAATACAAGTACAACAAAAACATACAATATTTTTCACCTTTTTTCTTGAGTTTAATCAGTTACATTAAAATGAATACGTAAACATAAAGAGCAGAAGAAAGATGAGGGAGAATAAACTAAAATTTTAAATTTAAAATTAACTATTATTAAGTGTTAAAGGATCCATTATGAGTGATATGATAACAAATTGACATTAAAATAACAAAGCTTCTTCTTCATATGACCCCTCATATAATTATGACAGTGAGTGTAATATAAACAAAAGAGAAAAAAAGAACAATAGATTACATTCGAAAAATGAAACTGGGTGGTGACAAACAATAATTCCACACCAATTAATTAAATAATGACTAATAATAAATCCAAATCAATTAAAATAAAGAATTAACTCAATAAAATTAACTTTTCATTATAATACTTCCAAAAAAAGAAAAAAAAAACAAATGAATAAAAAAATTTTGATGAGCTGAATAATCAATCAGTTAATATAGATTAACCAAATCAGTAAATTTATGCTTACCCATAATTGATAATAATAAAATGAATTCATTTATCAATTAAATCTTACCAATCACATATTCCTCTCTCTCATATATCACAGCTGTTCACTTTTCATCTTCCATTTGTACTTCATTAATTCTTCTCTCTCTTTCACCAAGTTTAAATTTTTTGCCCATCATTCCATTTCCTCTTCGCTGTTGATGACATTGTACTTCTGCTTCCATTATTTTCTCAATTCCATATTTTCTTTCACTCATCACTCGATCAACATATGGGTTAGATTTTGTGATTATATTATGTGACATTTGAATGCCATCCTGATATGGCTGTGATTGCAGTGTTATCTAAAAAATATCTATTACATGATAAGTGATATGATTTTTTTATCAGTACTGCAAAAATAAATTTTATTTTTATTTCTTTCTAAATATTTACTTACATTTCTTCTTTTTGTATAAATCTCCAAAAAAAAGTGAGAGGGAGATAAAAAACAGCAACAACAACAACGCTATTTGAAAATTAATTAAATATAAAGATTAAATCAATTATGGTAAAATTAATTAAATATAAAAGTTAAAGTAAATGATTTTACTTGTCCACCAATCCAAGCCATATAATGGGAATCCATGATATTATCATCAATCTTTTTTTCATTTTTAATTTGCTTAACTATTTCTTCTTGCCTATTATTTATTAATCCATTAAAACGAGTCTAAAATATATATATCAGCAATTAAAATTGCTTTATAGATAATATTTAATTTTTTTACCATAATTAAAAAACTAAATTTTATTCTTATTTCTTCCTAAATATTTACATTTTTTTAAAACAAGATTAAGCTCTAGCATAACTTTTTTTTTTTGCTTACTTTAAGAATACGAATTGCAACACAACAAATTTTAGTTATTTCTTTAGCAATTTTTTATTAAACTTTCAATATTAAAAACAGAAAAAAAAAACTTACATTATTAGCTTTCTTTGCTTTAGCTGCTAACGTTTCACGTGGATCCTGAAATTTTGGTATAGCTGCTCGACTGGCATT